GCAAATCTGAAGAAGACCAAGATGTCAAATTTCGGTGGAACGCAAATCCGAACAAGATCTGATTGGTGGAAAAGGAGACGGTTTGGAGACATCTGATTGGCTTAGGTCCTTAGTAGTAGGGCAAGTAGTAGATTCCAGTAAGTGCGGTTAGCGGGGTGGCTCACCTCGAAGTGAGGGCCACTGGCTAACTGACTGTAATTCAGTTTGCATTGTGAATCGGACCAAGCAATTGGTTCCTGTAGCTTCGACGGGACGTCGAAGGTGCGGGGTGCGGAACAACGAATTCTTTAGAGCATCGTATCGAGCTCACGATGAGTGATATTGATGAGGGGTCGCCAAGCCGCAAGTCACGGTCGCCGGAGCGCGACGACGACACAGTGCGGTACGACTCTGGAGTGCGCCAAGGCCGCGAACGTCTTCGCGGGCCATTTAGGTCTCCTCGAAGAACCCAGCCACAGCCGATCGACCGGCGCGGAGTGGGACAAGAAGGCAACGCGAGGCATGTGCCAAGGGTGGTACCTTCTGCAGCCCCTGTATCGGCTGCCGAGACGCCTCTGCCTACCGACACGCCGACAGCGACAAGCGTGGCTGAGGACATCGACATGGGAGAAGATTATGGAGTCCGTGTGCTGAACACGCCAGCTATTCCCCAGCCGCCTTTGTTCAAGGGGTCAACGAAGACCGAACGTCGGGTGTTCATGCGAGAGTATCAGCAGTATACCTCGCTGATTGAGGCATTGCAGTCGACCAGCCAGCGGCCGTTCCTGATGCCTGTGGGTGCATGCATGGACCCATTCTCCAAGCGGCGCATTGCAATGTTCGACTGGGGAAGTCGCATGGCGATGTGATTGAAGCCAAGTGGGTCGCCTGGTTCATGGAAGCTCACAACGAAGAGCCGGTGGAGTTGGACGCGCTCAAGAGGTGTCTGCAAATAGCCGTGCAGTTCGACATGAAGATCCTCGACGCAAACAGTCGAGTGAGTCGCATGCTGGACAACCTGATGCGCGCTCTCAAGAGTGGGTGCTGCATCAAGAAGGAAAACTGGTGGTGGGGATCATAACGAAGACGATCAAGCCTGCTCCACTGCAAGTTGTGGTTACGAAACAGTTGCAATTGCAGCGAAACAAGGTCCTCATGGCTGACGTGTTTCGTTTCATCAAGTGGCTGCGGCAGTTCGTTGTTGGGTACCAGCTGTATGGCGGTGTGGAAGAAGAGAAACCAGCCAAGGCACCAGTGGAAGTGCGGCCGAGGAGCGAGCAGCGCCAGATCTCTCATGGCTACAGTCGTAGCCACGGCAGCAACGACAGGAAACCAAATGTTGCGCCAACTGTGCATGGAGCCCTGAAGACCGACAAGGAAGTTGGGTTCGAGCGGCCCAAGGTCAAGTGTTTGAAGTGTCAATCTACTGAGCACCGTGTCCGCGAACACCC